ATGACCCGGGAGGCCCAGCTGGTAGTCCAGAGTCAAACTGAAAAATAAAAAATTATTAACCCCTTTTTTCACGTATTTTTTTACCCCCCAAAAAAAATCCAAAAAATCGGGCTGCGAACTGGGCCTCCTGGCCGTGGCCGCGGCGGCCAAATTGCCCGAGGCCGCGGCAGCGGGTGTCACGTAGCAATGTGAAGGAAGAGGAAAGAATTCAAATTATTTGGCGTCCAAGTTTTGTTATCATGGAGGAAACTGGATAGGAGAATAACAACAGTGAAATGAAATACTGGCATAGTAGTAGGGCAAAGAACAATTATAATCATTGAGCGATGTAATCACAGTAACGTACCTGTCTTGGGCCGTTTCCCCTTGTGCAAGTGGCCCTTCCAGAATGACCTGTGGGTAAAGTGGCCCTTCCGGAATGACCTTGTGCAAGTGGCCCTTCCAGACGGTAAAGTACCCGTCTTGGGCCGTTTCCCCTTGTGCAAGTCTGGCAAACAATTCAACGATCAATATCCATTCTAACATTCATCTCCCGAATTTGTGAGACATTCAGCAGAGGATGGGGACTTGGATATCGAAGGAATCAACCCCCAGATACTGCCATTAGACAGTTGGACAAAATAATGACAGTAATTCCACCTGATTGGTGGCGCTCCTAATTCACAGAAGAGAACTGGGTATTAGTGGGTAAGCTCCGAGAACTTGCAAGTTGCAACGACAAGCTAGGGTTGACATGGAGGGAAAAAAGAAACCATTTTGGTCGAACAGTGGAACATGCAGGAAAAGGGGGCAGACTAGTTGAGCCATCTCACTTTTCGGAGACTTCTTTTATATGGGGTGACAACAAGAAGGCGTGGAGGGTGAGAGTCTTCTGCAAGCATGAGAAGTGGGATGTCCTCGAAGAGGGCAAACATACTAAATCTCCCAATGGCAATTGACAATTATGAGGAATCGTAGTAGAGAGGGAGATCTCATAGCAACACACAGGGTGCAAAACATGCCAAGCTGGCTTCCCAAAGAGAAACAGCAAGGATACCATTGGGCAGTTATTTCTCTAGTGTCCTCTGGTGCTTCAGGCAGTGAATCAGATCCTATAATGGCTGGGGGACAGGGCTTGGAGATGGCTGAGACTCTTGAGAGAGGAGCCTCGTAGTTGGAATTGGGATTGGAAACAATGGAAAGCCTAATTATTGGCCTTAATGTGCACCTTGAATGGGAAAACATCCTTGGGGGGCCAGAGGTGTATGAGAAAATAAGATTCACCTTAATGTGACAGATTCTCCTTAATTTAACATGAGCGTAACAGATTCGCCTTAAATTCTGATGGAATGGCAGTTGATAATGAAGAAAATCACACACTTAGAAACCAAAAGACTAGGGGGCTAAAAAGGATATCAAAAAGAGTGGCTGATGCCGCTGATCAACTCAGAAAGCAGGCTCTTCGCAAAGATCGAAGTGGACGTATCAAAGTCACGAGGAGCTCAAATCATGAGTCGCATGATTTTCCCTGACTCGACACATATTGAGACACATTCCCTATGAGATCTGCCTGGGAATTTGCTGCATCCTTTTCCCTTGTGGGTAATTGTCTGGTGGACCTTGAGGGGTACGGAAGTGGGGGAGATGGACGACTGCCCTACATCTTCGTTTTTTGAAGATCTGCTAGGCTTAATCGTTCTTCCCTGGCGGTCTTCGCAGGGCTGAAAAGGAAGGTCTTTCGTAAAGCTTCGTTTTAAATTTCTGTTGGCAGGCAGTTGCTCGAATTTCCTCCCCTGAGATTTACAGGGCAATCAATGCTGTCCTCGACTCCTCGAGGACCCCGTGGGCACGTTTCTTTTATTTTATTTTCCCTTGGGGCAGGTCTATTGTGTTTGCTCTGAAATTGCTCATGTATCTCCGTAATTTCTGTTTCATCAGCATTTTTGCACCTTGGGACGCTGGGCCCAGTGTCCAACACATGCTGCTCCCTATGAATAGACCAGTATTCTCAACCGAAGGGAAAATTGTATCCGTACCCCATTCGAAGATGGGAATCACGTGTGTACCCTGTCGGGTCAGTCCCAGCGCCCAGAATGCCTCTAGACCCGGACAGTGTTCAACTAATCGTCATAGCCAACTTTTCCACTGTGCGAAATTGTACATACTTCAGGTCCCAAAGGCCCTCAGTGAACGACAAAATTATGCTCATGAGTCATGCCCAGAAACCGGGCTGTGTGTGTGTGTGTGTTTGTGTGTGTGTGTGTGCGTGTGCGTGTGCGTGTGTGTGTGTGTGTGTGTGTGTGTGTGT